TCATATCTCTGTATATAAAGTAGGTTGACACCCAATTCATGTCTTCATACATGTACTTTGGATAATGATGTCCATCACATTCCATCATCCTTGATGCCTGGGGTTTCCTTGCAGGGTGTCCAGCAGGTCCTCTCTCCCCACTTACATGTCTGCATGAAGCCAGATTTTCTTCATGTCCTTCTACCATAAAATATATTTTAATACTTGAAAATTTTTCAGTTTTAATTTTCCATATGGTAACTATTGAGACTTATAACCCAGATAAAAATTGAGGCTCTGAGAGAGCTTTTAAGAGTCCAGAAGATTTCTAAGACTAAAACTGCTTCTCTAGAGATGTGCAGAACCATAGCAGAGTGTGTGGCTGTGTGGGGCACAGATCTGGAACAAGCAGGCCTCTACTACAAGAGGTGGAGTTCCACTTTTTTTTCATGGTTAGAAGCCTGAGACAGACTGGCAATTGCCTGAGACAAACTTGACCGCCCCCACTTTTTTTTTAAACTTAAAACAAAAAAAAGGTTTATTTATTTCATTCTCTTACATCATGCTATTCACATTTTTAAAAAGTGTGGGGGCTTTGTTTTTCATAGTCACAACTTCATTTTTGCCCAAGAGGATTCTAGGACAGTAACATGTTATCTTCAGTTTAACTTTTTAGCCTCCTTCAAGTAATGAAACCTAAATCTCACCTTAGCAGATCAAGATTTGTGCAGCAGAACCTATTCAATTGTATGGAAAATGAATCCGCCTATAGGAACAATGGAACACTTCAGTTACACCCATTAAGACCCCTTAATTTTGGGAGGTTCCACCAATATTTTGAATTGTGGACTAATTGATTTGATGCATCATGTTTGCTTTTTTACTGATAAAAATGATGATGGACATATTTAGAATGTGTATAAAGCTGCAATATCCTTAGATTTAACCAGAACTTCACAGGGTGCTTATACTAATCTATTTTCTGTTACTGTAACAAAATGCCAAAGGCTGAATAACTGAAAAGAAAAGAGGCTTATTTAGTTCCCAGTTCTGGAGGTTCAGGACCATGCTACTGGCATCAGCTCAGGTATAGTGAGGATCTGATGGCAGATGGCATCACAATGGCAGGAAAAGAATCAGAGAGAGAACTCTCATGTGGCAAGATAGCAGCCAAGAGACTGGGCGTGGCCAAGCTTGTTCTTTTCTAAGAACCCTTTCAAAAGAACTAATTGAGGGTCACAGAAGTGTTCCTAAATCTCTTCTGAGGGCATGAACCTGTGACCCAAGAACCTCCACTGGGTCCCACCTCTTAGTTCCCACCTTCCCAATGTGGCCATATTGAGGTCCAAGCTTCCAGCACATGAACCCTTGGGGGACAAACCACATCTAAACCATAACAGTGCCAAAGCATAGCAAGGGTTGTTAGAATACCAGACAAAAACTCCTGTTTTCCCTGCATAGAGTGTACCCACACTGTCCCTGAGGACAACTTTTGCCTTCCCTCCTGCAGGACTTGCTCAAGTGGCTATGCCTTCTGCTCCTTCCTGTCTTCAGCAGAGTCCGCTGCTCATGTTCGATCACAGCCCATGTGGCTCTGGCTTGGCTCTGTGGTTTATCCTTTCTGTATGCTGAATGCTACTTATCTGTCCTTCTGAGCTGAAGTGTATAAGCTCCACTCTTCACACCAGTCTCAGTCCTGGACCAGACCTGCACAGGCAGCTGCTCAGCAAGTCCTGTTGTAGAGGAGTGTAGGATGGGGGTCGGGTAGAAGTGGCCCTTCTTCTGCTTGAGATTTGATCCAAGACCCCAAAATTAGTCTTTGGCTCTGTTGTCTCTGAAAGGCACTTGGCATGGCCTGAGCTGGGACCAAATCTGGATCCTCAACATCTATAAATGGCTTTTTGAGCAAGAGGGTACGTACCCACAGTACCTAGCCTCACAGCATTCTCTCCAAAGAGTGATCTGCCTGGATGAAGAAACTGCTCAGCCTTGTGGTCACCACTGCCAGTCTTAGTCTTCAAGGACTCACACTCGGGTTTAACTAGAATCGGAAAAAGCTTTGAAAAAGCTTCCTAAATCCATGTGATATAAGCTATCTTGACTTGCAAAAATTTCTTCATTTTAGGGAGAGAAAGAAGTTTGGGGAATGCCATTAGTTTTGGAGATGTTGAGATGTTGAAGTTTATCATGAAATCCCCTTTGAATTGCTCTGCCGTTCCCTGGGCACCCACCTCACACACCACTTTCTTCCCACGTTTAGCTGCAGTGTCACCTGGGTCTGGGCTACTCCTCCACAAGGATTAACTCACCAAGGCAGCTGGGAGACACGTGAGCATGTGATTCCTCAGAGTTTAAATCTGCTGTGTGGCTCGGGGTCTTGTGATCCCTCACAGTTGTTCTTGGTAAGCTAATGTTTGGGCATTAACATAAGCTTGATAAATCACTTTTTTTTTTTCTAGAAAGGCTTTACAGCCATGATCTCTGCTATTGTGTATCTTTTATCACTAGGATCCTACCTGTTGGATAAAGCCTGGGTTGTTCAAGGGTGCAGGGTCCTGACTCCTTTCCTGGTGTGCTGCAGAAAATGAGGTGCAAGAGTCACTAGCTTCTCCTGGAAATCAGCCCTACGTACTTCTGACCACAGGGCCGCCAGTTGGTGAACTTTGCCCTCTGCTGGTCAGGAGGAGGTCCATGGGGTGATGGTGGTTGTCCTGATGATAGCCTTACATTAATGTGCCTGGGTGGGGGAGGGGGGGGAGCAGGGCTGGTGGTCAGGAAGTCAGGTAGCCAGAGACTGCTCCTGAGGAAGTCACAGGGGTCTTTCCCTGGCTGTGGGCTCCTTGACCTGTCCTCAGTCATCTCTGCTTGCAGAAATGATGTCCACATGCAGTAGGCATCTCAGTGACTTAGGCACCCCTTCCTGTGGGCTGTATGGCTTCTCACAGGCCCTCAGCTCCCCAGGGCGCTACTAGGATAGTGTCCACTCTTTGCAGAGCTGTAGGAAAGGACTGGGGAGGGCTGAGCTCTGCTGTGACACAGTGCCACACACTGTAAACTCTCCCACTAGCACCAGAGTTCTCCTACACCTGGTCTTGACATCATGTCACGGTGGTCACAGGCCTTTTGATGTCACTGTGGTCCCTTGGAAAGTTCCCTGTGCAGGAGCAGCTATGGACCTCACCTGCTGTGAACTCTCCACTCAGACATCAATGCCAACCATGGGTGGATGCCAGTGGTGGTGTCTGGGGTCCCCCCTGTCTGACAAGGGTGAGAGGCAAGGGGTGCCTTCACGGAGTCTCCCACAAACATAAAATATGCAATCACATCTACATAAAGCCCACTGCTGCATAAAATATAAGAAAACGGATTCTATAACAGATACACTGAAATTTATACATTTGATTAGTCTGTACTAGCCACCTTTGGCCTTCATGTTAGATTTCAATGATGAGGCTGCTTGCCAGGAACATGCAGGGAGCCTTTATTTTGTAATTTCTTTTGAGCCATCCAAAGAAGATATAGATCTATGGTCCAATTTTGTTTTGAACCCAAATCCTCCTGCCCAGCTCAGAAGAAACCTGAGATTCCTGAGACCAGTACCAAGGACTTCTGACTGAAGAAATCCAGACCCCCCTCAAGATTCTAGGCTCCTGAGTTATGCCAGGGCTGGCTTAGAATGACACCATCTGCATCCAGTGCTCACTCTCAGGTGCCATGAAAAGAAACCCCTTCTGGATCTGGCTTTAACAACCAAAAAGATTGATTGGTGATAAGTTACAAACTCAGAGGTAAACAGTTCATTGTTTGGCTTGGTTACAGGTACCTGGTCTTCAGGACTCTGTCCAGCTCCATGGCGCCTTCGTCACCCTCACAGCTGGCCCCAGAGGTCCTAGCCCTTTGGTTTGGGACATGTAGATGTGATTATCTGAGCCAGTTAATGGTTGGGGAGTGGGATTTCCTCCAAGATAAGGCTACACAGGGCCCATCCTTAGGGCTGGGGATAAGACTGATCCTACTGCCAACATTTGGCAGCTATGTAAGTACCAGTTAACTGTGAGGCTCAAGGAGTCCCACTCTTGGCCACATTTGTGCTGCAGATATTTACAACTCTTTTTTTGACACATCTGCCTGCATGGTCACATGTGCACACCATCCTATAAGGGTGGTGTCAGCCAGGAATTTCTGTCCACTCAAGGTACTTCCATACCTTGGGCCCTCTTTCCACTTTCTGTCTGTGTGTTTGTCTGAGGTCAAAAAGCAGGGGACAAAAGCAAGCACTGACAAAAAGCAAGTGTCAATACTGTTCTTTGTGAAAACATGACCTCCCTGTGTAGTTTATCTCTCTCTCTGTATTTTTGTGTTTGTGGGTCAGTGTGTAGTTTGTGTGTGGTGTCTGTGATATATGCATACCTGTTTCTGAACATAGTTTATGAGCCTGTGTGTGGATGTATGTGTGTGTAGTTTGTGTGGTTTATGCAACTCTCTATGGGATTTAAAAAAATCTGTACCTATGTGTGTGTCTGTGTTCGTGTGTCTTTTTATCTTGTGCATCTCTGTGTGGGGTCTGTGTGTCTATGTGTGTGTATTCGTGTGTGTGTGTGTACACGTGGTGTGAGAGAGCTTTCCACAAGCATAATCTTGGCTACAGCCTTGGGCTTCAATGGAGCAAGACAAGGAGAAAACAGGAAAGTGGCCAAGTTAATCAACTTTAGCAAAGAACTCTTAAAATACAGACCAGGATATTCACTCAATTTACTTTTTCCCAACTCTTCTTGGTAGAGAAAACCTGCAGCTAGTCCTGAACCACTTCTTGTGAAGTACAGAGCATGCAGAGCGGAGCTAGCTTTCAGAGAAGCGCGGAAGAGGTCCCTTTCTGCAATGACCCTTTCCCACCAAAGGAACCTTCCTTCTCTTGCAGCCCTTGGATTCTGCTCCAAGCCTAGTGGAGCGGCAGCTGGCAGTGAGGTCTGTGGGCGTGGCCGCCGGGGGCCCAAAGGGAGGGGCAACACTCCCGCCCCTTCTCCAGGGCTGCGGCAGCCTTTGAAGAGTTCTCGTCGGTCCCCAGGATTGTTCTTCCTTCACCTTTCAGAGCCATCGGTTTGGACATTAAACTTGGCTCTTGGAGAAAGATCAACAAGTTTGCAGGTAAATCCAAGTGCTTTTACTAGATGGGATTGAGGAGGTGATGAGCCAGCCTATTCCGGGGAGCAGGCAGGCGTTTAAAGAAGTGGAGTGTGGAGTCATTGCTTTTTGAAGCAAGGCAAGTTCCTCTAAGGGAAAATGTGCAAATATTATTCGGTGGAGTAGCTGATGCTAACACACAGCATTTCTGAATTTAACCGGGAGTCTCACATCCGCGTTTGCTCTCGGAGACCTCCGGCTCACTTGGGAGGCTGGATCAAGGGTACTGAGGAGGGGAGTTTGGAAGTGTTCAGACAGTAAATGTTCCACTTGAACTCCAGGGTGGCCTGAGCAGTCAGGCGCTTCTTGGGAATGGAATGCACTGGAGTGAAAACATTAAATCCCTCAAAGCTGCTTCTTTTTCCTCTGGTCACACACAGAGAAATAAATGGGCTTTAATGTAGCCAGCTCTTTTCAAGGACATGGATGTTAAGTACAGGGGTCTGTGTGTGTGGGCATTCTGTGTTTATAGACCAAGACCAGGAGAGGGGACTCAGGACAAGGGCAGATGCTCCTACCCTGCAACCTCATCCCCTGCTCCCAGCAGAATCAAGAGCCCCAGAACCTTTCCACCTCTTGCTGTATAGCTAGTTTCCCAGGGGACTTCAACATGCATAAGACTTTGTGAGAAGCACTAACTGAGAGCAATAGCATGGATTTATGCCATTAGTAGTTATAGGCAACTGATGTTCTACCTAGCCATCAAGGAATTGCAATTCCCTGAGGTTTGTTTGTTGGGAGACCTGAACTGTGCAGAGCAGCAGCTGCTGGTGTTGGAGTGCCTGGGAGCTAGAAAGCATCTGGCAGTACTAACTCTCACTTAAAAACTAGTGAGGATTCAATCTGAAAACAGAGGAGAAAGGTTTGGGTATGCTCTAAAGGATTGCATGAAAACTATTTGTTATTGCAAATTGAGTTTACAAACACTTGAATGCAGTTGTTCACATCAGGTGTGAGGATGGTTTAGGAGCAGAGTTTCCTAAAGTTTTATTGCACTGATTAAAAAAAAAGTATCAATATTGTTCTTGTTCTTTGAGAAAGGATGACTTCTCTGGAGTTAGCTGAGGTCTGAAGGCATCAGGAATTACTGGGAAGAGGGAGACCCTGACTGCCCCTAGAGACCCAGCAGTGCCCCGACCTGGGACACCTGGCTCTTTGTTTCTATATAGGAGTGGCAGGTGACAGGGAAAGTTTTAAGCTGGAAACCAAATGATCAGATGTACATTTTGGAAAGATCACTGTGGGCTGGGTGGTGGGGAGCAAGTAAAGTGTTCAAGAAAGCCCCTGTTGAGTCTCCCTGCTGAGAGGTGCCTGTCTGGCCAAAGCAGGGAGGCACTTGCAGGTGATGAGTTTGCAGGGGAAATGTGACTCATGGGGGGAGTACTCTCAGTTGGTTAATGGTGCGCACTGATGGTGTGATCAGTTGTGGGGGTCCCAGAAAAGATCTAGGAATGACTTCAAACTTTGGGTCCTTTGGGCACCTTTGAGTCCATAGAGACAAGAGGGTTTCTGGACCTAGTGGTCTTGGCTGCTGAAGAGAGCTTGGAGTAGGGGTTGCCCTGTGATGTGAGGATAAGGCCTCTTGGGAGAGGGAAGAAAAGAAGGTTTTAATTTTGTTTTGAACTGGAGATGGGGAAGGTTGGCCTGGAAAGAGACAAGAGATACCAGACAGAGATGCCAGAAAGGTGGGAGGAAGGAAAAGTGGAACTGGAGTAGAGAAGTTGCCCATTTTCCAATTCCCTTGGAAATAGCCTTCGCAGTCCTGATCTCTGAATGCTCCTATGATCAGCCAGCTGCATCCACCTCTACAATTTCTTGGTTGTTGTGTTCCCTATCCCTCCCTCTCTCTCTGTCCAGGTTTGATTACTAATTCTGTCATTGTTTCTCATTGCCTGTCTAGAGAGTGTGCAAAGGCACTTTGTAGAATTGGTGTGGTGCCGCCCCACCTGCCACCTTCAGAAAGCTGGCTTGTTTTAGATTGTGGCCCATGTGCAGGGCATCAGGGCGGACTAAGTAATTCCAGGATAATGATAGTGGGGAGGGATTCCCCTGCCAAAAGCTGGGGTAGCAGAAAGGCCTCATCTGCACTTGGAAGCTCATTGAAGAGGCCAGTCCAAGAGACAGTTGGCAGCGAGGCCGAGTGGTCAAGACCTTCCTAAGCTGTGCATTCGAATGCACCAGTCCCTTTCTTCCCCACAGAGGTGCACTGCCACTGTCCCTAGAGGCCAGGTGAGTGCTTCCTACATCAAAGTACCCCTCTGGCCCTAGGCATAGAGTGAAGGGTCAACCCTGGTTGAGCAGTTCTCCTCCCAGGCTTGAAGGAGGCTGTTTAAAATAGGAATTATGTAAGGGTTTAAGAAACCATGCTCTTTGGTCAAATTGTCTAGAAACTTATAACCAAGTTCACATGTAGCAAAATCCATCCGGAGGGGAAAATGATCAGACCCATGGTCTGGATCCTGGCCTGTAATGGGACAGTGGAACTGCCGAGCCTATGATGCCCTCCGTGGGATGCTGGTGTCTCTGCCCAGGACAGCCTGAGGAGGAGACTGACTCCTGGGCGGGCCTCCTTGGACCTATTCACCCCAGGGCTTCACCTGACTATTATGAGGGCTTCTTGAACTGGAAAGTGTGCATCGAATGCACCCAGGTGTGCAAGGGACACAGACACACACCTGAGAACACAGCCATGCCCTCTGAGACCCAGGAACTGCCCTGCACACTGAGCTACCTGGGCAATTCCACACAGAGAGGTAAGCTTTGGGACTGAGCAGTGATGTATGTGGAAGGGAACATGTTTTCTTAGGACATAACATTTTGTTCACAGAAGGAGCGAATTGGCTGGAGGGATTTCTTTTTAACAACAAAGTTTGCTGCAGTCTATATACTCGTTCCTTCTCTCTTCATTATTGTATTAAGTCAAATGACTAAAGAACTTAAAAGAAAAGTAATCTTAACATGTATGAAGAACTTACTTTCCCCATGATTATGTTGCTGCTTCTGTAAAGTCAAATGCCAGTCTTGCATTCATCAGTTTGGGTACTTGGCAAGAGCACCAAGGAGAAGATTGTTTAGGTGTGGCCTTGTTGGGCTGGAACAACAAGGGCAGTTCCTCGGACCCCCTCCTTACCCTTCTGCTTCCTGTTCCTCATGCCTCCTAAATAAATGTTCCATAAATGCCAATAACCCCACCATGTCCAGAAACCCTAGCTTAATTCTTTCAGTGCCATTAGGAAGATCTGGGACTGCCCAGGCCTTGGAAAGGAGTTGGGATGTGCAGGCCTTGGGCAGGACTCAGGGTGTTCAGGCCTGTTTTGAGCATCTGAAAGCACAGCTTTTATTGAGCCTTTTCTTTTTTTTTTTTAACATCTCAGTTGTTGGGTCATTCTCATCCAACAGAACAGTCAAGGATGGCTGCTCACCAGATGGAGAAGCCCAAAAGTAGCATCAGATCCTTTTCCAGCAGTGGCAGGCATCAGGGCTCTGCCCAGTGTCCCCATTGGTGTGTCTTGCACTCAGCACTATGTTTCCATCAGGCCTCTCCATCATGCCCTGGGCACATCTGCAGGAGGAGCGTAAACAGCTGAACAGCACTGCCTGGGGCAGGGTGTGGAGGGGTTGGGAGAGACAAGGGCAACAGAAGGACCTGCAAGAGGGGCCAAGGTCTGGAGGGAGGTAGGAAGAAAGCAGAGACTGCTACAAGACTGGTGGAGAAGAAAGCAGAGCTAGAAGAAGGGTGGACAGCAGCCAAGATGGACATTCAAGTCAAATGTGAAGGCTGGATGATTCTACTGGGTCTAAGCCATCTATTGCTTTCTTTTTGAAAAGTCACAATTTTTAATTTTTTTCCCTAAAATTTGGTAATGACTTGGTCATTCTGGTGTTATTCTTGTTCAGAAGGTGATCTTGGCTAAGCCCAGGCTCAGGAGGGTGCCCTGGACCTATTTGGGAGCACAGTGACCCTAGGGTCCTTCTCTTGATTGCAGGTATCTGTTGCAGTCTGTGGTCAGTCTGAAGTGGGCTATCCCGATGTGTAAAGGCCAGGTTCTCCTCTGCACAGTCCTCAGGAGTGAATTCTTAGATGTCCTTGCAGGTCAGGCACATGAGGCCAATGGAACAAAGCTGGACCCAGACTGTGGATCTAAGGACTGTGGGTCTATGGACTGAGGTGACGGAAGGGTCCCCATGGAGGATAGACTATGTGCTAAGATGTTGGAATCCCCCCAGAAGATAGGCCATGGGTTGGGGAATTGGGTCCCTAAGAGACAGTTCAAGGGTTGGGGTTCCCCAGAGGATGAGTTGCTTCAGAGAGGTGATGGCCCATTGGAACAGGAAGATTTAGAATGTGTTCAGAAGAATTGGATGAGGAGTGCATGACTAAGAAAGGGACCTTTGGGTGAGCAGAGCCTGCAGTGTCCCAGAGAAAGCAGCAGGAAGTCGACAAATGTCAGTAGGGGGCACAAGCAGGTGGTGACTTGGGTGAAGAAGCTGCAGGAGTGAACCCAAGGCTTTGACTATGCTGAGTAGAAGGTATATCACTGATCTACACTCCCAGCTCACAATTTTCATTTTCCTTTTTTAATTGACATTTTTAATTATAATTATCAGCACATGTTAATTGTACAAAATAATGAGTTTCATTGTGAAATTTCCATACACACATATAATGTGCTTTGAAAGTATCCACCCTCCCTATTACCCTCTTTTATCCGCCTCCTTCTCCTTCCCGAATAGTCCCCCTACTACATTCATGTTGCCTTTTTTTCTCTTTCTCTAATTCCAACTAACTATGAGAGAAAACATGAAATTCTTATCTTTCTGAGTCTCCCTTTCTTCACATGATGATCTCCAGTTCCATCTATTTGCTTGGAAATGACTGACATCATTCTTCTTTTGAGAAGTGTCTGTTGAACTCATTTGCCCATTTGTTGGCTGGAATACTTGTTCTATTGGTATTAAGTTTATTGAGATCTTTATATGTTCAGGATATTAATCTTCTGTCAGATGAATAACTGCCTGGGTGCTTCTAATGTGCCATCTTCTAAAATATTGACATTGACATGGTCCTACAATTTTACTTTTTAAGAAACTGCCAAACTGCTTACCCGAGTGGTTGTATCACTTGACATTCCCATTGGTAATGTTTGACTGATTGGTCTTTTGGCATCCTGGTCAGCATTTGCTGGTATCTCTATCTCAGCCCTTCTGATAGATGCACAGTGATAACTCATCTTAGTTTTTTTTTTAACATAATGCCAACATCATGACAATTTATTCTGATTATTCAGGATGTGTTATCAAAAAAAAATCAGAGCATACACCAATACTTCTATAAACTGAACATAACATATAATAATTGCCTAGTATTCTCTTTCTTTCATTTTTTTTTACATTTCCCTATAGAGGTTCATGATGTAGAATGTTTGCACATCCTTATTTGTCATCTAATATATCTTCCTCAAGAAATGTCTCTTTATGTCTTTGCTCATTTTCTAATTATTTTGACCATTGAATTTTACAAATTATTTATATATTTGGTATATTTGTACTTTGCTGGGTATGTTATTGGCAGATATTTTCTCCTAGCCTGTAGCTTGTCTTTTTGTCTTCCTAATCAAGTCTTTTACAGAGAAAAATATTTTAATTTTGGTGAAGTCCAATTTCTAAAAATTCCCTTTTTTGGATTGTGCTTTTAGTGTCAAGCTTGAGACTCTAAGATCTTGAATATTTATTTATTTCTAAAAATTTTGTAGTTTAATCTTTTATATTTTTGCCTGTGACCCATTTTGAGTTAGTTTTTGCCTGAGATGTGAGACCTAGCTGAAGTTTGTTTGTTTTTTCTGTCTATGGAATGTCCAGTGACTCCAGCACCATTTATTGAACAGATTTTCTAACACTGAGGTGTTTTTGCACTTTTGTAAAAATCAGTTTGGCATATGTGGAGGTCTCTATTTCTGGGTCTTTTGTTTGAATTCATTAATCTGTGTTGTCATAAGTTTATCTAAGATAGTTGCTGCCTCAGATTCAACTTTTAGGCCATGAAGTTAAGTTGTTGGAAACCCACTTGTACCTTTAGCCTTGCTAAAACTTCCTCTTCTTGTTTGAGAGTTTGCAGTACAGCCTGCTTGCTCCTCATCTCACTGACCACAAACCCAGTTTTCTTTAAATTAGCTAATCAACAGCCCCCAAGGCAATGCCTGAGGCATGATACCCAAGTGTGACCAAAAGTACAGTCCCACGCCCCGCCCCCCATTTCTAGATTTGCCGTAGACCTCCAGCACTCCTAACTCTTGGACCTGCGAGTAATAATTTTTACATTTTGATCTTCTGCTTTTTGGTTTTCCTGTCTCATCTGACCTACCCACCCAAATCTACCTTTCCCTCTCTCAGGGCTTCCCTAGAGAGAGGCCATTTGGTCTTAAGGCCATCTGCCAGAGAAAGACCTAAAAAAATGGAAACTCTAACAATAAAAATTACAACACATGTCGTGTCCTATCACTGGTATTGGTGACTGTAGCCCTTAAGTAAATCTTATAATTGGGTGGACTGCTTCCTTTCATTTTATTCTTCTTTTTCCTAAATATTTTAGACATTCTAGACCTTTTGCTATTTTCCTATATGAAAAATAAATTTTAGAATAAGCTTGTTTATATTTGAAAACCTCTTGTTGGAGTTTTGATTCGTGCTGCTTTAAATCTGTATTTCAATTAAGAAGAACTGACATCGTTCCTGAATGGAATCTTCATGAATGGAGTGCCTCTCAGTTTATTCAGATCTTCTTTGATTTCTTTCATCAGTGTTGTGGAGTTTTTGGCATGAGTCACATACATGCTTTATTAGATGCTTATGTAAATATTTAATTGTTTTTGAGCAGTTGTGATGATGTTGTATTTTTCATTTAAGTGTCAACATATTCATTGATAGTAAGTAGAAGTATTACAGAATTTTAAATATTTACTTTGTGTCCTATGACCTTGATGAACTCACTGATTTTTTTTCAGTAGAATCTTTTTTATTTTTAATGCAGAAAATCATGCTATCAGTGAATCAGGACAGTTTTATTTCTTATTTTCCCACGAGTGTGTCTTTATTTTCTTTTCATGCCCCATTGCCCTATTTTTTTTAATCGTACCATTATTGTGACTTTATGGCAATAGTTATAATGTATAAAAATGTATACCATTTTTGTGGTATACAGTGACATCACAGTTACTCTAACTATATATATAAATAGGTGTCTATTAAGTCTACATTGAAGAAAGAAAAAGCAACTGGTGATTCCCCCCAATCACATTATCAAAGAGATTTTTTTCCCTAAAAGTTATGGCCAATAACAAAAACAAAATTTCAGTTATTCAGCAAATATTTTGAAGATGCAGGAATCACACTGCACATGATACAAAATTTAAAGGTTAACAAGAAGGTCTATGTATTTTAATCTATATTTCCATGAAATTTACATTATATAATGTTTCACAATACACAGAAAGATGGAAGTAGTGAATAGGTTAAATTACAAAATTTAAAACAATGTCTATAAAATTAGAATTATATTAATATTATCTGGTTAGAATTTTCTGTACTATGTTGAATAGGGGTGGTAAGGGGACATCTTTACCTTGTTCCTGACCTTGAAGTTGTCATCATCACATTGTACAATTTCAGTTTTAAATGCAAATATTGGAGCAATTAACTTATATGTGGAATCAATAAGATCACACGATTTGTCTTTTGTAGCTTGTATGTGTATATGTATTTCACTCTTACCAGATGGTGGAAGCATTGCATAAATCTAATTCAATTGCTTTTATTTCACAATTGACACAAGTACATTCTACCACTGTGTGCCATTGACTTACTGATTTGTGAGCTATTTTCAGCATGTGATTGGTTAAAGCAGGGAAATAGCAACAGTAAGAAGGATGTAGTTTTCTCTGCTCAGTTGGGTTTCTTTCAGTGCCAATGTCTTTGTATTTGAAATAAGTTCTGGCTCTATTAGAAAGTGTGGCCTCTTCACTGTCAGTGCTCTGTGTGCATTAATTGCTTTCTGTCACTATAGCTTGTACCTGAGATAATCAACTTACCATGAGAAAAGATTTATTTTGGCTCAAAGTTTCAGAAGTTTCAGTCCATGATCATTTGGCCCTGTTGCTTTGGGTCTGGGGTAGTACATCATGGTCAGAGCATATGGCAGAGAAAAACAGCTCACCTCATGGCCAGAAAGGGAAAGAGACGGGGTTGGGTCCCATCACTTCTTTGAGGCCTCACCTCTTACAGGTTCTACCATCTACCAATAGCATCATGGACTGGGGACCAAGCCTTTAACATACATGGGCCTTTGTGGGAAATTCTAGATCTAACTGTAGCACCAGCCTACTCAACTGTAGACATCCCATACATTACCTGTATTTCCTTTGAGTCTTGCTGAATGCCCACCAGTCTTGGGTCCATGGGAATCCCGTGCTTATGGGGTATTGCGAATGTTGTGTACAAATCAGGGAACAGGGAGTGATGGATGTGTGTGTTGTGCTAACCCTAGCCCCAGCACATTCCTTTGTTTCTCAATGGTATAAATCCTATTCAATCAAAGTGCACAGTGATCCTTGGCTTCAGGACAAAAATGCTTGTTAGTGAACCAGGCTGCTGCAAAACCAAAGGTCCTTGCTGGGTTATGGGAGGCTGGAAAATGTAAAATATAAAATAAAATAGTAATGCTTGAAAGTAGGACACTATAACCTTCCAAGTAGAGTACATTTTCTTATTTTTGTAACAGGTATTATTATTTCAAAGATATTAATTTGCTAGATGCAAAAAGTGTAAAAACCAGAGCGTAGACAAAGAGAAAAAGCCCCCAATCATCTGTACCTTCACCATCCAGAGGTGGCTATGTTTTGGAGGGTGTGTCTTTTTGGTTTTCTGTTCTATGCATGTAACTAATATGTATTTACTTCAACAAAAATATCACAGTGTGCCAGTTGTTATTTTCATATCCATAATATTTCCCAATATCAATAAATATCCCTTTAGAGCATTTTTATGGTTGCACAGTATTTTATACCATGAACATCTCACAATTTACTTACCTAAAACTCTGTTGTTGAATATTCACTTAACCTAATGCTCTCTTGTTGAACATTGCTAGTATGAAATGTACTGAACTGTTTATCCTTGGAGAAAGCATACACTGTTTTCTGTGTGATATTAAAATGGTGGAACACTGGAAGGACCTCTTTATCAGTGACCTTCCTATTGTACTATCCAGTGGTTTGGATTTCCCAAGATGCAATATTCCCAGTCTACTTTTCATCAACAGTAGTTTCTTTCTGGTTTTGATCCTAGAGAGAAGACTGCCAACAGAACATGCATCTAGAGAACAAAGATGGCAGGCTGGCTTCTGGTGCACTGGAGGTGGAGCTACATCAGACATCTGCTCCAACTTGTGCGGGCCCTGGGAGGCTGGGGACTGCCAGACCCACCACCGGAAACTACCAACACAGCTGGACAGACTCCTCAAGCTCCTACCCCAGCCAGGCTGCCGGGCAAAGCCGCTGGGCTCCTGAGCACCAGGATTTGGACTCATTTCTCACAGAAGGGAGGTGAGTTTAAAAAATAATCTATCTTATAAATGTGGAATTCACAACTACTGAACTTCTATGGACATAGGTCCCCTGCTTTTCTTTCTTTTTTGGGGGGGGGTGTGTGTATGGGGGACTTTCTAAAATTTTTGCCAGATCTTTCCAGTATTAGATCATTTTCCTGGCCTATTTTTGGATAAATGATATTTCTAAAATAGGATAAACTTAGATCCAAAGAATAAAAAAAAATAGGAAAGGGAACTTGTGGTATGAAAACTTGCATTTCACATGTTATTTAAAGTACTCCATGGTTTGGGGAATATATATATATATATATATATA